AAATCCAATCTTTGGGCCTAGATTTGAGGTAAAAACCGTTTGGGACCGGACCGAAATTCGGATAAAGACGGGATAAGAGAGCCAAATACCCCGAATTTAACCTCCTCACCCTTTCAGCAGGCCTTAGGCCACTCAAATCCCCTCTCAAACCACTCAAATCCCCACAAACTCAATCTAAAATCAAGATCGAATTGGGATCGGACCGGTTCAAAACCGGACTGAATCAAAACCGGACTGTATTCCATCTAATCTTTGGTCATTATATTCTCGAAAAGACCGGATCAATACCGGATCAATTCAAACCAATTTAACTGGACCAGACCGTATAGCCGTGGCGGAGTACAGCTGTGAGTGTTGGAGTAAGGATATTATAATTTTGCTGGTCAAATGTGGACCGGAGCCCGAGACGGGGGGCGCGGTGGAGATCAGGTCTGCCACTTTCGGTGATCGTAATCCTGAAAACCCCCCCGGATTTCTGCCGATCTCCTCCTCTATATATTATTTATTTCTTAGCAGATCGCATGGAATTATTGTTTTCTGCTGGCTAACGCAAACTTGTGAAAAAAAGGGGGTGGTTTTTGTAAATAAAATACATCTAATTGATTTAGAAACACCGGATCACATATCAAATCCCCACATAAATTACGTCTCGTCCCTTCCCAAAATTAGAGAATTTACGCACGGTTGATTGCATTGCAATTTGCATGCCGAAGAAGACAATCACTGATCATCATGTATATGCACCTTAAAATTAATTCATAATAATTAATACTTGTTCAAACTTGCTTCTTCCTCTTATTCATGGCCGTGGAGTGGAACCTTTTTTCAACTTATTTTACAACAACTTAGTAGCCCCGCCGCAATGTGATGAAAATAGTGAATGGGATCGACCAGAATGGTACGTGGGGAATGCACATTTGATTCACGGAATTTAATTCCCAATAATTAGGGACAATTATATTAGGCCTAGATTGACCTTTAATCAATTTCCTGACTAGAAAGGTCATATATTTAGTGGTGAAAAAAAGATCCGGTATTTATCAAATTCAATTTATTATAGGTCAAATCATATTTGAATAATTTTAATTTTGAGCACACCCATATTAATTTTTTTTAGTTAGGGTCTAGATTGGATTCATAGTATTGTATGTACCCTAAAGAAAATCATCAGTCAATTCTAATGTAGTTTTTGCCATTTATTTTTTTGTTATGAAACAAACAAAAATGTGAAAACACGAATATTAGAAACGTAGTTGAATTCAAAGCAGTCAATGAGATGATTGATATTGCTTTTGGATCTAACTCAAATAAATTTATTCAAATTAGACTCAATTCAAACCAAACCATTAAAAATACATACATATATATATCCATTTAAATCCAAACCAAATACTCGAATAAAAAAACGAATCAACCCATTATTTTCCCTCTAAATAAATTATCATTTACGGAAAATAAATATAGCGTGCGTGAATTTATATCCCCACTTGACAAATGTCGTCATTGACCACTCCATTCAAAATCGCAGCTTAGTTGAACTTTTTTTTCTTCCTTCTCTCACTAGGATTTGTTAGGTACCAAATGGAATGGATATATACATCCAAACTGTAATATTCATTATTACCAAGGCACGTAAAATACCTACAAGAGAGTCAATCCTCCAGCCAACTTTCCCGTCGTTTTCTTTGTTAGGAACAGACGTTTGACATACTTACATGCATGCATAAATACATACATCTCTCTCTCTCTCTCTCTCTCTCTCTCTCTCTAGTCTTTCATGTCAAAGCCGTGTAACTCGTAAATTAGGGTAACGAATCCACCCTCCTTTCACATTGTACATGGTCTAGGCCTAGGGTTATATATATGAACTACGATCTCAGAATCATATTAGTTTCTATGTTCTCTTCTTACTTCAATTGAATGTGATTGTCGTCCTACTTTAATTTGGTGCACTTTAATACATGTGTTTTTTTTCTTATATCATATCTACCACGTCAATTTATAACTTTAGAATATTCGAAAACCTTTCGAGTCTAACTTAGGAAACATGCATGTTACAGACAAACAAAACACATTGTCGCCAACTGTCGTGTTATTAGAAGGAGAGTGAACGACAGACTCACATGCATGTTTGTGTAATGCCTAGTTATGTCTTGGTGCTCTCTCTGGCACATGAGGCGCATATCATTCGTTAGTTCCACTTCCACCAACTCCAAAAAAAAAAAAAAAAGAAGCGAACTCTCCTTCTCAAAATTCACAGTTCAAGCTAGAAAAAAGTGGCTATGTCCGATTCTACACGACGAAGATCCATACCCCCAAGTCGCTCGAGCAACAAGCAGGCGCCGCGCAAGTTATGAAGAGTCTTCTTAGACCCACACCGCTCCTCAGATGTGATCAGGTGCCACGACGTGCTCGATCCTAGTTGGCCAAGCATTCCCATAGCTAGCTAGATAGTAAGCACATAAAATTACATGCATTTTTTGTGTGTAAATCATCGTTCTTATTTTCTTTTAACTCCATTTCATGTAGTGTTGAATTGAATCTATAGTACAACCTACATAGTCCCATGATATAATCGTTGATGGGCACAACACATATATGCAACTACTTTCGTGTAATCTCTTCTGTGTCTGCCCTTTAACAGATCCAACTGAAACAGGGTTCAGCAGTCGAGCTCCGACAGCTCACCTTGTTCTTGCATTGTTCCCAAGTTGTCTCATTTCAGTCGAGAGAGAAAAAAACACAGTATTTATGTTCTCTTACGTGACTTGTCTGGCCTGATTCTTGCTTTGCCAAACCCTAAGTACTACTTCTGCATATTTTGTTTTCTCTTTTTCCTTGTATATATATTTGCCTTAGATGGTCACAATAGACAACAATTCGTGCAACTTGTTCTGCTTGGCCGGTCTACTTCGATCATGGATCCTAACATATCTATATACGGCTTGGATTCTTATTGATTTCCACTTTTTTTTCTCACAAGTTTCTCGGGACGTACGTATGTAAAAAAATAAAATAAACCTTCATCTATATTGTTTTTAATATCTACATAAATATAGCGATGCGAAGGTTGTCATTGACAATGTGAGGCAGACATAAGACCAGGATGCTAGAGGAAGATTTTTGAAGAAATCGCCTAGCTCAATAAGACGTATTAACTAGTTTTCAATTCAGTTTGTTGGTAAGCAAAGCAATCAGACAGTGGTTGAGTCGGAAATCTAGACGAGGAAGTACTGAAAAATCTATGCTCAGAAAATCTGAATTGGTGAACGGAAGTTAAAGTCTTACAAACTACCATATTCTCATACTTATTACAAATTTGACATGATTTTGAGAGTTGAGGGAGAAGACTATAGCCTCTCATACTATCAATGTGGCTCCGCATTGCAATCGGGCGGTTTATTTGGTGGTTATATATGCCCTTTCGTTGTTTCCTGCGAGCACGTTGAGTTTTGAATTTTGTCTGCGGGCGTTGTCTATTCTGTAAATTTTTTAATATTAGTTTTCTTTATAATACAAGTGATCTATGAGAACAAAATACGTCGATACAAAATTTTGAACCAAATTTTATTGTTTAGATAATGATATTATATTGTTTTAACGAATAAAAAAACACTATAATTACAATGATGAGAACCGATATATAGAATAGATCCCTTAAAATCGGGCTTTATATATGTACTAGTACATTAGAAGAAGACATTTCGGTTGCATTTTCCAATCAAGCATGTGTTCATGTTTGCCTATAAATGGATATGTCTGAGTCATGCATGGTATTGTTATTTGTTAATTCGATTCGAAACTTCTTCATAATGTAAGTTTCGTTTGAGCACCTCGATCAAATCTTCAATAACCATGATTACTACTCATGTACGGAAATGTGTAACAACATTCTCCACTTCTTCCAAATCACTCAATAGAGAATAATAATAACATTGATTACTAAACTAAATGGGTCCTTAACTAGTGTTGGGGTTAAAACCACCTCGAAGATATTGTATTTGGATCACGGAGTAACGTGCTAGGAGATAGTATATGTATCAAAATCTAAGGAGACACTCAGACACATGTTAGTTAAGTCAGACACATCATTTATGGATGTTTGTTCGTTCATAATATCCTTGGACCTAGGTTGTCGTTAGCTATGGTGTTTCAGGTTGTTTCTGTGTATCATACGGGTGTATTTGTCTCCACTTTTCTTATTACCAAAATAAAAGTTTATGCCAAAAAACCTATTTTCTCGCATTTTTCTCAAAGTTAAGTCAAGATCCGTACTCAATTAACTAAAAGAATTTCATTTAAGACTTTTTTTCTTTTAAAAAAAGAATCTACCCTGAAAGTCACACCCTTCCGAATCATGCATGTTTTCAAAATACGTACACTACGACTTTGATTTATCATGCTTTTTTCCCATCATATTACATCCCATATACTTTACTCTTTTCTAACCTTACCAAACACACTTTGCTCTAAAAATCACAAATCCTTACTTAACTATGAGGAAAAGTTTTCAAATTTGAGAAAAAATTGAAACAAACCCACCATTAATATGTGTGAAGAAAAACATGGGAGGTAGCATTTGGAAATGTTGCATTTTCCCCCAATATTCCATAACCAAATATCTCATTTCGTTTAATAAGACATTAGTCCAAAATATTCAAATTTACAAATAATACATTCAAACAACCTGTTAAAAAATCATTTCCACGATGATCACAACTAAGATTATCATCTCATTTGTAACAGGAAAAGAAAAATGAGTGAAATCATGTACACTATAGTAATGTTTTTACAAATTCCACAAATCTCAATTGCCTTGCAAATACAACCATGTTGTAAATAAAGGTAATCCAAATCCACCTTTTCTTCTATTCAAAAACAAAATCTTATTAGAATGTGTGTTTAGGGACACTTGAGATCCCACAAACCAAAACCAACATCACCTTCCTCCTTCCTCCCTCTCTATATATACCCACTCTCCCCCACCTTTTCTCTTCACGCAAACAGAAATCCCTCAAACTAACACCCACACAAAGAGACTCACACACCTTCCCCCTCTCCTTCCTCCTCTCCTCTCCTCCCTCACACAAACATCACCCCCACCATTTTTCCAGAGCTCACAAAACAAACCCATCACCGCCGCCATGCCAGAAGCTCCCAAACCCACCCAAACTAGCAATGGCCTCACCACCATCGCCATTGCCGAGAAGAACAAACGAACCCTCCAGTTCATCGAGGACGTCACCTCCAACCCCGACGACGTCCAGACCCAAGTCCTCCACGAAATCCTCTCCCGCAACTCCGCCGTCGAGTACCTCCACCACCGCCACCGCCTCCACGGCGCCACCGACCGCCGCACCTTCAAGAAACTCCTCCCCGTCATCTCCTACGAGGACATCCACCCTGACATCACCCGCATCGCCAATGGCGACACCTCCCCAATCCTCTGCTCCTCACCCATCTCCGAATTCCTCACCAGGTAGAAAACCCAACAAGCCATTTTCCAAAAAGATTGTTTCTTTACAACAAACAATACTGAAAAGTGAAAACCCAACAAACTCTTCCATACTCTGTTTCCGGGAAAAAAATTGAGTCTTTGCAATAGCAATACTGAAAACCCAACAAGCTAATCCATCCCCTGTTTCCGAAAAATTGAATCTTTTCTTTACAGCAAGAATACTGATTCGTTGCAATTTGTTTGTAATTTTGTGTACAGCTCTGGCACTTCAGCAGGGGAGAGGAAATTAATGCCGACGATTGCAGAGGAAATGGAGAGGAGATCGCTCCTCTACTCTTTATTAATGCCGGTGATGTCCCAATTCGTCCCCGGACTCGAAAAGGGGAAAGGGATGTACTTCCTCTTCATCAAATCAGAATCCAAAACCCCCGGCGGGTTACCCGCCCGACCCGTTTTAACCAGCTACTACAAAAGCTCCCACTTCAAGAACCGACCTTTCGACCCGTACACCAACTACACGAGCCCGAACGAGACCATCCTCTGCCCCGATTCGTACCAATCCATGTACTCCCAGCTCCTCTGCGGCCTCTGCCAGCGGACCCAGGTCCTCCGGGTCGGGGCCGTTTTCGCATCGGGTTTCATCCGGGCGATACGGTTCCTCGAGAAGCACTGGCAGCTCCTCTGCCGCGACATCCGGTCGGGTACCCTCGACCCGACCGTCATCACCGACCCGGCCGTGAGAGAGGCCGTCCTCACCAAAGTCCTGCATCGACCCGATCCGGAGCTCGCAGATTTCGTTGAATCCGAATGCAGGAAGGATTCGTGGCAGGGGATTATAACCCGGCTCTGGCCCAATACCAAATACGTCGATGTGATTGTGACGGGGACAATGTCGCAGTACATTCCCACTCTGGATTTCTACAGCAATGGGTTGCCTCTGGTTTGCACCATGTATGCTTCTTCCGAATGCTACTTCGGTGTCAATCTGAACCCGCTCTGTAAACCCAGTGAGGTCGCTTACACGTTAATCCCAACCATGGCCTACTTCGAGTTCCTCCCCGTACACCGTAACAACAACAATGGGGTGTCCAATTCCATCTCCATGCCCAAATCCCTCAACGAGAAGGAGCGGCAGGAGCTCGTCGACCTCGCGGATGTCAAGCTCGGGCACGAGTACGAACTCGTAGTCACCACTTATGCTGGTAACTAAAAAAATGCTCCTAATTTCGAACTACGGCGCTGAATTATGTCGTTATTCGCGCTGCGGTGCTAATTTTCTCTGTATCGTTCCAATTTTTGACGACAGGACTGTACAGGTACAGAGTGGGGGATGTGTTGAGAGTGGCAGGGTTCAAGAACAGGGCTCCCCAGTTCAACTTCATATGCAGGAAGAACGTGGTGCTGAGCATCGATTCGGACAAGACCGACGAGGTGGAGCTGCAGGGCGCGGTGAAGAACGCGGTCGACGCGCACCTGGTGGCGTTCGGAGGGAGCGTGGCGGAGTACACGAGCTACGCGGACACGAAGACGACGATTCCGGGGCACTACGTGCTGTACTGGGAGCTGAGCGTGAAGGGGACGACGGCGATCCCGCCGTCGGTGTACGAGGATTGCTGCCTGACCGTGGAGGAGTCGCTGAACAGCGTGTACAGGCAGGGGAGGGTTTCGGACAAGTCAATCGGACCGCTGGAGATCAAGATTGTGGAGCAGGGGACGTTCGACAAGCTGATGGATTACGCGATCAGCTTGGGGGCGTCGATTAATCAGTACAAGACGCCGAGGTGCGTGAAGTTCGAGCCGATCGTCGAGCTGCTGAATTCGAGGGTGGAGGGTAGTTACTTCAGCCCCAAGTGTCCCAAATGGGTTCCTGGCCACAAGCAGTGGAGCAATAATGTGAAGAACTAGATTTGGTGCTCTGTTTTTTTTTTTGGGTTTTTTGTTTAGTGGAAGAAGGAAGGAAGAAAAGTAGGTTCTCTTTTGGAGAGAAAGGTCTGTCATCATTGTTGTTTATGACCGGAGGTGCATGGTGGTCTTACTCGTCGGCGGTGGTGGGGAAGGATGAAGGAATGTTGTTGGTTGCAGGATCTCTGTTTCTTGTTAGGTTAATAATGACTTAACCCTCTTTTTTTTTCTTTTCTGGCTTACTGTTAGTTTTTGTACTTTGTTTTTTTTTTTTGGGGTAATTGAATCTGTTGGGACAGAGAGAGATCTTTGAACTAGCAATGTACAAAAGGCAAAACCAGTTCCCTGTTTCAACAAGGGCCTTCTTGTTTTGGAATTATGGTAGCATATCGAAATGAGGATGATTCGACTAGGTTAATACCGTCAAATGTTTAGTTTCACTGTTTTCACGATAGGAAAAATTGAAAAAAATAATGATAGCACAAAGGGTTTTCAGAGTGAAAAGTATGCTCCAACACTTAATTCGAGTTTAGCCTTAAAAACCCTGAATAATATCAGAAATCACCTCCTATATCATCGTTTGGGAAAGGGTCCTCATCTATTAATATGAGACAGTTCCAAAGGTTTCCCATAATACGGGATAAATGTTAAATGATACTCCTCTCAAGTACATTTGTGTTTTGTAAATAATGTAATCAGTAAATGATGAATAAAATTCAATTGTATAAGATCGTGCAACTGAAAAATGTCGCGCTTAACATGTTAGTACAACTAATGAACTTTCTTTCTTTTTATCCGTTGCTTCTGTACCATTTCTTCACCATACACTATAGATAAGGATCAACGCTAGAAGCATGGTGAAAACCGAGACAAAATTCATGCTCGACACCTACAAAAGGTTCATATGTTTGGCCATAACTCAACTCAACTCGTTTTAGTGGATAAACTTGTGAAACTGTTGTAACCGACATTTAACGTTCTTCTTCGTATTATAATGTAGTACAGGTGCTGCAATTTCTGAGAAAAAAAAGAAAATTTTCCTGTTGTGGATATTGATGCACTGTGTAGTTTCATGGGGATTGGATTCAGAAATCCAGGCAGGAATCCTGGCCACTTTACAAGCCAGCCAAAACCCACTTTGTACTCCCACAAATTTGACTCTCTTTTTTTTCTTCTATACTGGTCAACCAGAACCTTTGGTGACTAAATCCGCAAAGGAAATGGCTGATCCGATCCGCCGAATCCCATTGAGGCAAGCAGCAAGATCTAAGCCAACGCCATGGCCGTATTTTCATCGGCAAATTATCTCTGGGAAGGAAAGGATAGAGGATCAAAGATTTACCTTCTTTTTAGAAGACAAGTAAAGTGGCCGGGCACCAATTGGGCCGGCCTTCGACCCAGCGTCTCCTTTTTGTGGGCTTGCATCTTCTCTTATGGTTGGGCTGACAATATGGAAGCCCGACCCACCACTCCCTTCTTCCTTTCCACCCAAAATATCTCTCTTTTTAATTCACTATTATTTATTTTTGCTTGCCTGGATTATCGCAAGAGGTTTCCCCTATTTTCGTTTTATTTTCCCCTGGCTATCTGATTCCAATTTCCCAAGAGTTTCTCGCCGTCTCTCCAATTCCAACCCCAACGCAATAAATCAGTCCTTCTCCCCTCACGATTCAATCACTCTCTCGATTTAGGGATTTCCCCCTTTCCTCTGCCGATCGATTACCTCCATGGGAGGAGGAGCAGCCATGCGAACTGTGGCCAAGGTCGCCGGTATCGGCGTCGTCAACAGTGGATTCCGCGGCGCCGTCTCCGGATTGCCTCCGGCTGAACATTCGGTTCGCAGCGCTTCTCACACCGTTTCGGCGGCGATCTCATCAACGTCTTCTACGTCGTCGTTATCTGGCGTGGCGGCGGTTCAGCGCCCTGTTTGGGAGCTCGATGAGTGGGAGTTCGCCGGCGGCGAGGAAGAGGTTATTTCGGAGCCTCTGGAGCCGAAGCCCAGGCTCGTGTTTGGCGGCCCGCCGACTTCTCAGGAGGCCCAAGAGGCCACCGCTGAGTTGAAGGACGCCCTGGAGAAGTAATCATCCTCAATTCTGTCTTCATTTACTTCGTGCTGATACTGGTTCAATTCAATTCAATTCAATTCGTTGGTGGTCTTAGTTATGCTCCGGAGGTTCATAAATTGTCTATAATTTGTTTTAGCTCTTAATTTGATTGTGAGAGTTCATGGTCTTCTGTGATAATCTGCCATTTGTGCCTTTTTGTGGGCATATAGGAAGCTTCCAACATTGTCAGTATCTGTGTTACATGTCCTCGCTCTGGCACACAAGATCAAGTTCGGGGCGTATCTATGGCTTTTGATCTTTGCTGGGCTATGGTAGATGGTGTCATAAAGCTTTTATCTTTAATGAAAATGCAGAATATCTAGTCCTGCACTTGGAGGATCAGCTGCCTCAATTGGATTCAGTGACCATCTTGGCCTCCCTTTGCTTACAACTTCCGAGCTGGAGTCTAAAACTTGCCTTACTTGCGAGAGAAAAGCTGCTCCGGAGTATGCTGTCAAGGCATTCAAGTTGCTGAATGAAAGTCCTGCTGCTCAGGTTCTGATGCTTGGACTATTTTAGTACTATTTCATATTTCTTACTGGTGATTCCAATTTCCGGTTGTCTATATATGTTCCCTGCCATCACTCAGTCTCATGCTGTCTTAAAAGTCGGTTTCTGATTCTGTTCGATTACTATTCTCTTAATCCATCAGTAGTTCTGGTGTTTAATTTCATTAGCATCTGAGTGCATTTACATAGTTCTCTTTCGACTGCTGAAGTCTTTAACAGTTTGAGAGCCTCTTAACATCGTCCATTTTGTGGACTGATTTTTATCATTAATGTTGAATGTATGAGCTGGTTTTGATTGAGCTGGGTTTTGATGCGAGTATAATCATTCCGCTACTGGCTGTGCATGGATAATGATCTGCTTTACTAACAGATACTCTGTTCCTTGTTCTTCACGCAGTCTGTTGTAGTTTCCATTGCCTCGGACCCAAACGTGTGGGATGCAGTCATGCGAAACGATGCGCTCACCGCGTTCCTCCAGTCCCACAAGACAATTACAAGCCCCACGAGCGAGGCTTCCACAGAATCCGTCACAGATTCCAGTTCCGAGGACGCAGAATCTGTTGTACACGAGGAGCCGCGCTCCAGGTTTATGGCGTACCTGGATGACATCAAAGTTACGGTGGTGGATATGTTCGGCACAGTCTCTTCTTTCCTGCAGAACATGTTCGCGGTGCCGCCTGCTGCAGCTGCAGGTGAATCCGATGAGGGCAATGCGAAATCGACGTTCATGGAGAACACGGTGGGAGCGTCTCTCTTGGGTTTGGCTGTGATGGCTATCATGATGGTGGTGCTGAGACGTGTCTAGAGTGGTTCTCTCAATTTGCCGACCCTGCACATTCTGTTGCTTTTGATGCACAAGTAGAAACGAAGAGAGGGGTGTTCTAGTTTATGTCAAGTCTTTTTGTACATACTATGTCTACGCTAGGGTTATGTTGATAATGTGTGGACTGTGGAGTCGATTGAGTTGTTATGTTCTTGGTTTGGACTTAATAATATGGCTATGGTTTTTGGCTAAGTATTCCCGGAGGGTAGATCAGGTTTTTCTAGCAGTATATTTGTTGCCTGTCCAAACTGAAGGTACTGACACGCCATCCTACTCTTCCAACAATCTGAATACGTACGAGAGGAATGTTCTTCCAAAACTCGTAATTTGTTGAATAATCGAGGTAATCAACTGAAGGTGATTTCCTTTTGGTGAATTCTTTGAATCAAAGACTTGTAATTAGGGAAAAAGTAAGTTATTAAAATTGAGTCGAACTAATCGATCGGACTAGTAGTCGTTGTCAATCAGTATTAATTTGGTTCAAGGAGTGAAGGAAGGGAACCAATCATAGTTGTCATGTCGGTGGAATGAGGCCGGTTGGACCTAGTTCAATTGGTGTCGGTCATGAAACTGGCGTGAATATTATCGGTATAATCGATTTACTACTTCTAAGCAAAATGGTGACGTTTTAGTGAATTTAATTCATAGAAAATTAATTTATTATTTATGTTATGAATTTAAATGTTAAATGCTGATGTTATTTGTTGAGTTCAAATATAAATATTTAGATATTGACGTTAAATGTTGTATTTAAATATGAGTATTTGTTATTTTATTTTAAATGTCGTATGTATGAATTGTAAGTAAATTGTCTTCTAATATGTTTTATATATGATTAATTTCATTCGATGTCAATGGTTTTTCACATTTCTATATATTATTTGAAACCGATACAAATCTACACAAACCGATTATACTACCGTCGAACCATTCCACTTGCTAAATTGTCTTTAACGGTATAAACCTGTTTTTTGCGGGGAAAGTTAATCTGCTAACTTGAAGATTCGTTAGCAGATACTAACTGATATCCAAAATACATGAACTAATATCCAAGTACTAAAGTATCTAGAGAGCACAGACTAGTATTCAAAGTTTGCTAACTGATATCCACCATGACTCAACTATTATCCCAAATTCACAAACTAATATCTAGACAACACATAATAGTATTCATACAACACATAATTAGTATCCAGATAACACATAAGAGTATCCAGATAACCCATAGGAGTATCCATATTGAATACTAGTTGGTTGATTGTGGATATTAGTTGGTATCTGCTATCTGGATACTAGTTCGTGATGTTTTGAATACTAGTCTGTGCTATCTAGCTATTTAGCTGACTTGGATATTAATTCATACATTTTGGATATTAGTTAGTATATACTAACGAGTCTTCAAGTTAGCAGAATAACTAGGCTGTTTTTTTGCAACCATGAAACCAAGAGAACGAGGATATTCTTGTAATTTCACAAGTGAAGGAGGCTCGCATGTCGCATCGCCAGTCTGCCCTACTTGGTCGATGCTCATTGCTATGAAAGGGGTTTAAGTTTTCACCGTCTAAGCTAAACCCTTAAACCCTTTTCCAGAGAGATCGAATCGAACTGTATCGCTCAATCAAGTCATGGCGTTGAGATCCTCGATGTCGGCTCTCACGGCCGGTGCCAGCAGCTTACGGAGGATGCTGTGCACCGCCTCTACCACTTCATCCATCTTCTCGACGCCCGCCGCCCCTTCAGCTCGTGAGCAAGCTGATCCCAACGTCAACCTTTTCGTCTCCGGTAACCCTGCTCACTTTCTCATGTTTCGATTCCCATCCCAGTTCTGGATTTTTGATTGTCTGAATCTGTTCATGATTTGTCCTCTTTGCTCTTGGGAAGAACTTGGGATAATCAAAAGAACAGAGAAAGGCAGATACTTTCGCGGGGTTTTAAAGTTGTGGAGATAGGGTCGAATTGTTGTTCTTTTGTTTTGTCCAATTGGTGATTGCATCCTTTGCCCAGGGTATGTACTCGTATGTGTATTATGGTTAATTGAAGCTTGTCGTGCTATCCATGTTTCAGTTCTTGCCATTGCATTATTTAGTTGATTCTGTCTGAACAAGAACAGGCGAATGGAAGTGGATCCATTTCTCCTGTGTTGGTCAGCTCTCTATAGACTGGTCAATCTTTTCAAATGTCAATGTACTTGTGACATCCGTGGTCATACTAGACACATTGGAGTTGCCCTGTAAAGCTTGTATGCAGATAATTTATCAACATATGCAAGCTCTGTGTTAACCTTTAAACATATCATTTTTATTTAGGTAAAAGGGATTGCTTGAACAGGTTGCCATATACTTGGTAGTAATATATTTCTGAGTCACTGCTAATTGAGTAACCACGGGCAATGCTTCGTAGCATTTTACACAATAAGAATTAGTGCAAGTAGAATTTGGTTTTGAAACTGTTTTTTGAAAATGGTTACGTACCTTAATGTAAGTTACATATTTTCTTTTGATGTCATAATTTGTTGCAAAGTTGTAGTAGGTCACAAGACATTCCCTGTTTAATCTTGTTCTTGCTCAATTTTTTTGTTCTTTTACTGACTTCTTTCTTCCGTCAAGGGAAGTCTCCAATAATGGCACCCTAGTAGTTTTGTTAGTTTAACCAAATGTTTGTATAATGATGAGGGAACCTTTGCGAAGGCTAAGGTAGGCTGCCATGATTGCCGGCTCGACAAATGTTATTAAGATGGGCATTAAGATGTTATATGTCGTGTCTATCTTCTCTTGGAAATGCGGTTGTTGAAAATTGTTGTACTGGAGTTTATGCAACTGATATGTTTATTCAATTTCTGCTAAGCTGTAAAATAGCAAGGACTCAGATTTTTTGTTTTGTTTTACTCTGATGTTAGACTATGAGGTGTTCGTTCCACTTGTGCATGTTACCCGACTGACTCTATGAAAATCGATTCAGGGCTTAGCAAACGAACCACAACAGAAGGCCTTAAGGAAGCCTTTTCCAAGTTTGGTGAAGTGGTTCATGGTATGTGCTCTCGCTCTCGATTTTCTTTCTTTTGATTGTTTGATGGAAGTTGATCCATTTGGTCTCTGAAATTTTGTTTTGCCTGCCTCTTGCAGCTAAAGTTGTCGGAGATCGGGTATCTGGGCATTCAAAAGGGTTTGGCTTTGTTAGGTATGCTACCTTGGAGGATGCTGCCAAAGCTATAGAGGGCATGGACGGGAAGGTGAGTTTTCCTTATCGTGTTTCTTCTTTCTCAGAAAGGACACTATTATTCAGCATGTAATTTTTACTATCTGTAAAGCTTACAGCAAAAACAAGAAATGATTTCTTTAAGTTGCACGGTAAAAATAAACTCTTAAATTGATGTTGAATATGAAAATCAATACATGAACAAAACATTAGTAGTAATGATCAGCCTGTATTTTGCAGTATCTTGATGGATGGGTTATATTTGCGGAATATGCAAGACCAAGAGCACCTCCTTCACCACCTAATAGTAGTAGCATGGGGCCTGGCTATGGTGGTTTTGGCTCCACAAATGCGAACAGCGCAAGCTATGGTCTTGGCAGTATTGTGAACCCTGGTTACGGGAATAACGCTGCAAGCGCTGGGTACGGCAGTAACGTGAACCCTACTGCTTATGGGAGCAATCCTAGTTCAGCATATGGGAACAACAGCGCAAATCCAGGCTCTCCATATGGAAGTCAGACTACTTATGGAAACAATCCAAATTCAGGCTCTTCATATGGGAGTCACACTACTTCTTTTGGGAACAATGCTACTGCAGGCTCTTCATACGGAAGTCAGACTACTAACTGGAACAATGCAAATCCAGGATCTTCGTATGGGAGTCAGACTACTTCGTACGGGAACAATGCATATCCAGGCTCTTCATATGCGAGTCAGACTACTTCTTACGGGAACAATGCAAATCCAGGCTCTTCATACCAGTCTGGAAGCTCTGCAGGCTCTTCATATGGGACTCAGACCACTCCGTACGGGAACAATGCTTATGCACATGGAAACACAAGCTCTGGGTTTGGTGGCCCTGGATACTCTAACACCACGAGTCCTGGGAACAATGCAAATCCAGGCTCTTCATACCAGTCTGGAAGCTCTGCAGGCTCTTCATACGGGAGTCAGACCACTCCGTACGGGAACAATGCTTATCCACATGGAAACACAAGCTCTGGGTTTGGCGGCCCTGGATACTCCAGCACCACGAGTCCTGGGTACGAAAACAACAAAGGCACTGCATATTCTGATGGCGCAAACCCTTCGTATGCTGATAATACCACAGGCTCTGGGTATGGCAGTGACAATGGACCTGCTGCACATGGTACTGCTAGCACAGGCTTCACTAATCTTCAGTGAAGCAAAAAGCTCATCAATGAACGGTATGAAGTTTGCAGTCGACAAATTACATTGTGGATTTCGTCGATGCTGCTGCTGCTGCTGCTGCTATTTATTCTCTAGTTTTGTTGTGTCTACATACTTATGAACTCAATTCTTTCAAGCATGAACCTGCCAATTTGTGAACATTTTTCTGAGGGTGGTTTTCTTATTATAGTTTGCAACTTAATCTGCCGTCCTTCTGAAACAACCTTTCGCTGAAACCAACAGGAAAATGGAAACAAAGAAAATCCAAGTCGAATGATTCCGTTTTGTCCACGTCACGATAATTACTCTCAAATAAATTTGGCGGGTCCGTCATTTGCCATATCTCGTTGTCCTTCCCCTTTCGCCACTTCGCCCTGCCCTGCTCCAAATGGCGCCTCCCCGATCTCTTCTCTGCAACCACATCTCAGCTTCTGCTAATATGAACCACATTCCCCACCTGAAATTCTCCTCCTCTTCTTCTCCCATGGCTGTTTGATTCTATCCCCCTTTAAAACTGCCTTCGTTTTTGTGTTCTGCTCTGCTCGGGGCTCGATGAGGTTTCTAATTGACTTCGTCTCTTGCTGTCGGAGCGCCGACTGTGAAAGTTCGAGCACGAGAGAGGTTTCTGGTTCGACGACAGGGAGGAGGAGAACCCAGTCGGAGGAGACTAGAGCGCTGGTTAAGGTATCTACCGCGGCGGTGTGTGGTGCCGTGGCGGTTGTTTCTTCCTCCAATTCGCCTCGTGGGGGCCGCCGCCGAGTGAGGAAAAGGAGCAGAACGGGGACAGGGGCAAGGCCGGGGTCCGAAGCAGAGTGGAAGCCGTCTCTGGCGGCAATTTCCGAGGACAAAGCGGCGGCGGCGGCAGAGGAGAAAGCGAGGAGGGAGAAGGAGAGGGCTGTGAAGAGGAAAGACAGGAACCGATCACGAGATTCATCTTCTTTTAACGGCGAGGATTACAGGTGAAACTATCCTTTCTTTCCGTGTTTCCTTCCCACCTTTCGCTCTCATCACCGGCGACTTTTGTATATTTCTCATTACGTGTGGCTTACTTAAGTGTCTATCTAGTCACCACTCAAATGAACAGATAACAAAAATTAATCAGAAAGCCGTTCCTTTTTCTTGCAGGCGAAGCGGTAATCAGTTCGCCGGCGCTTTCCCCGGATTCCCGGCAGCGCCGTTCATGATTTAGGGGCCAAAATTTATGATTTATGAAGGTGGGTTGTGATTGGTGGGCGGATGTTTAGCTGTAAATCCAATAAAATTTCAGTTTATTGCTTCAAGTTACTGTCTTGTGAATATTCTGCTCGTCCTTTTGTATCTCCAACTACCAACTGTGGGAAGTAGAAGTATGATATCAAACCTTGAAAGATGCTCTGTTTCTTGTCGTCGCACGGCAGAGGGCTACTCTGTTTTCGCCTTCTTGGCAATACGCCAATCAGCTACCTTCTGCGTTGGAACTAACCGGGCCTGACTTGCCATTTTTGTCTAGAATCCTTTCATTTCTTTGTCCCTCACCAGCGCCCAGTCAACCTTAGAGTAGACCAATCCAGTTTCGCCAGTTTCATTGCCGTTCTTTGGTCGATGTGGAGATAACGCAGTGGCCAAGTGTTTGGTAAAGGTGTTGTGACAGAGGTGAATGGGTGGCAAGGATTACCAGAACTGCAAGGTAACTAGAGTAGTGGAGATTGGGGACTCATAGGATAGAATAGGATTCGAATTTGTGTTGGATAATGGGAAAACTATACCCATCTATTACATGTATGTAATATTAGAAATCGGGTTTTTCTCGCACCCACTAATATCTTTTTACTTCGAATGTTTCCTCAATGACAAAGGAAGAAATCACAAGCAACAAGTTGAAAAAGGGGAAGCAGAAGATCTCGTAATGAGAATCTTCACTTTCAGTTATACATTTTGACTTCCATTTAGGTCAAGCCATCATACGAAACTGGAATCAAGCGAAGAGCATTCTTCCTTCTTAGTGACGTTCCAAAACTTTCAGTCATATCAATACCTTCTTGTTTCATTTCGGACGGAAGTTCCCACCGAAAGTGATAGAGCAGATTCGCCAGGGTCAGTTTGACAACCGCCATCCCAAAAGAAATCCCGGGACATATCCTTCTTCCAGCACCGAACGGAATGAACTGAAAATCATTCCCCTTGTAATCCGTCGAGCAGTCCAAGAATCTCTCGGGATGGAATTTCTCCGGCTCGGCCCAATGACGAGGATCTCGATTGATCGCCCATGCATTTACAATGACTTTGGTGTTGATTGGGACATTATATGCATCGAGCTCCACCTTCTCACCATTTTCTCTGGGAATAAGTAAAGGAATAGGAGGATGTAACCTTAAACCTTCCGAGATAACCATGTCCAAGTACTTCAATAGATGAAGGTGCGATTCGTCAACATCTTTTCCTCGCTCACCTAACACTTGCCTGACCTCTTCTTGTGCCCTTTGAAACACTCTCGAATTCTGTATCATCTCTGACATAGTCCATTCTATTACCGTCAACGATGTTTCGATTCCAGCTAGGAACAATTCCTAATTGTAAGAGCAAAATCAAAGTTACATAAGAAAAGTCTCAATTAGAAAGGCATTCCATTTATAGTCGTTTTGCATTTTCATGTATGAAGGATTGATATTGCAGACAAACTTATAGGACAAACGACAGCTTGTTGAATCAGCATATTTACTTACCAAAGTCACCGCTTTTATGACTTCCATTGTAATGGGTATTCCAAGATCCTGTTTTTCTTGAAGATTCAGAAGAACATCGACAAGATCCTCTTTTTCGCCATCATCTTTTCTTCCCGCCCTTCTTCTTGACTTGTGTTCGCCGATAATTTGCTCCAACACCGAATCTGATGCTTTACGCATCTTTTGCAGTTTTGTTCTGTACCCAGTGAGGGCAGGGAGGAATTTGATGGAAGGATAAAGATCAGAGACTCTGAAACCTGCAATGACATCCGAAATGTTGTCGAGAACGATCTGAAAAGCATCGTTTAGCTCCTGTACTTTCCCAAACGCGGCCCTGGAAGTAACGGTACTCGTTAGCTTAAACAGCATCCGAGTCAGATCCACAGGCTCCCCTGCATCTGCAGAACGAGTCAGAGAAGCCACGAGATTGGACACCTCTTCTTCCCTGATGTGGCGGAATGACTGAACTCGTTTGGCGCTGAAGAGCTCCAGAGTGCAGATCTTGCGCATCTGTCTCCAGTACTCTCCGTATGGCGCGAAAGCTATGTCCTTGCAGCCATCGTAGAGTATGTTTGGGGCGAGGAGAGAAGGCCTGGAAGCGAAAGCCAAGTCGTGGGTTTTCATCACCAGTTTGGCGGCTTCAGGGGTTGAGATCACGATGTGAGAGAGTTCGCCAAGCTGAAGCTGCATCACGTCGGGACCGTATTTGCGGGCCAGATCTCTGAGTCGGCGGTGGGGTTGGTCGCCGACCATCTGGTGGATGTTTCCTATGATGGGAAGCTTCCATGGGCCCGGCGGCAGGTTTAGAGCGGCGGTTTTGGACCTCTGTTTTCGGATGATGAATAAGGTGAGTACAAGGACGGTTGCAAGTGTGAAGAGGCAGGGGATACTGAATGCTTCAATGGAGAATGAGCAAGAGATCATCTTTTGGCGGAGATATTCCATGGAGATGAAACTCATTTGTGGATCGATGCTGCTAATACATTGCTTGGTTAGTTATATTCTGCAGACAGTCAACGGATTTCCCTTGTATACTACTCTGCCATATCACGTGGAGTGGTTCAATTAGATAAATGGCAGATTCGTGTCTAATTTTTTTAGTTTTGATCTAGATTATTCGATGAATCAATCCATTTCCATTCATACAGTAACCATTTTTGGCATGAGCTTAATTAATTTGGATCGAAAAAATTTATAGACAACTTAGTACAAACATAATTAGCTTTCCTTTTCAAATGTATATGGGATAGGTAGGGCTACTAATGAGGTTGAGTTGAGTTTTACTTTATTCAGGTTTGGATCGTTAATAAATCAGTTGAGATGGAGTTTGGCTCATTTATAAACGAGTTGAGTCGATTCGAGATCGAGCCCAATCATTTATTAAAACCTACTTGACTCATTATTAAGATAAGGAGTTTCGCTCGAGTTCAACTCTATGATAATTTATAAACTAAACCCTAATATATTTTTTTTATGTCATATATGATACATGTGATTAACTCATCTCATGTCATATATGAGACATATTCACTCACATACTCAAAATCTTAAACATGTGAGACATACAATTTAATAAACTTGTGAATTATCAAGAAGCCAACTCATAAGATATATCGATTTCCTCATAAGCCGGTAGTCGAGTTGGCCTACTAATCACAATGTTGAGACATCTAATGAAACAAGAGAGTTCACGAGTTGAGAGCTCAACAAGTCACTTAATCGAGCTAGCTCCCGAACTGAACAAGACTTAGCTCAAACTCGGCTCATTAATAGACAAATCAAGCATTTTCTTATCGAACGAATTTTTATCGAGTCGAACATCGAGCTGCTCAACCCTGGGGTGGCTGTTTGTTATTGACCATTAATGTGATTTAACCCTATGCAAGATGAATGAGACAAAGCCTGACAATGACTTGAGTAAAAAAAAAATAAAAAAAATAGAAGGAGATATAATCATATCTCCATCTATGCAATATAAAACTTAGTATACAGTTCCTTATTATTGACCATTTTGTTTTGTTTCAATTTTTTGGAAAAACATTATAAAATTCGGGAATGTGTATAATTAAAAATTTCCAATAGGTTTGTTGTTGTTCCATCTCTATCAAATTAGTTTGAGAGCATCCAATGCTTATGTATTGGGGTTATTGAAATGATCAAAGGTCAAGGAAATATTTGTTCATCATTGTTATGTATCTTATTATGGTCATAATAAAGATTTAAGTTAATTTTTTCAAGTTGTTCTCCATTTATAAGTTTGTAGTCTTCGCAGTAGCTTCATCAATATTACTACCAAATAAAAGGTCTACTCAAAAGACTATTTAATTCCCTGGAAAGGATCAATTAAACTCTCTTATAGTTTCTGCTAAACCGACATACTTTCCTGGAGAACCTCTAAATACTTCACCCGTCTCAAACTGTTCAATGAAATTAGTATGAGTTGTGAAATGAGAAGCTTAGGATTCAGGGTTTGTGATGTTCCAAGTATAGCACATTAATAGTATTGCCACCCTTGTGAAATAAATTATAGATATTGAAACAAAAGAAAAGCACAACTATACAATTAGCATCTTTGTTACAACTTCCTTAAATCAGAGCAAGGGACCATATGAAATTGTAATGAGATGGATAGCATATTGCTTAAGGGGTTTGAGAATATGATTAGTCTTGCATGTGTTGTTCAAGTGACTAGAGAATATGGCATTTATGAGTTGTTAGCATTTTTTTTGTCATTGGGTCTTTTACGTATAGGGGCCCAAATTTTACTGGACGTAACAAATTGTTGACAAAATAACCACACGAAATACAATATATATTTTATTGGTAGAAAATATGGTAGGATACTAGTCTAGGGTGAAAGAAATTATACATATTGAAACACAAGAAAATCACAAATACACAATTAGCATCTTTGTTACAACTTCCTTAATTCAAAGCATGCGACAATACACCGTTGGAATAAGATGGAGAGCGTATTGTCTTCTGAGTGTCATTCCAAAGCATTCTCTCATATCAATGCTTTTCTGCCCTGCAGGAAGTGTCCAATCAAAATGAAAAAGCAGATTTGCTAGAGTAAGTTTCACGACCGCCATTCCAAAAGAAATTCCGGGACATATCCTTCTTCCAGCACCAAACGGAATGAACTGAAAGTCGGGCCCCTTATAATCAGCCGAGCATTTCATAAATCTTTCCGGATAGAATCTCTCAGCCTCCGTCCAGTAACGAGGATCGCGATTGATCGCCCAGGCGTTAACAATTACGCTGGTGTTCACCGGGACCTCATATGAATCGAGTTCCACCTTCTGATCTCTATTTTCTCTTGGAACAAGGAAAGGGAGTGGTGGATGTAATCTTAAACTCTCAGCGATAACCATATCCAAGTACTTCAATTGGTCAAGGTATGCTTCGTCGAAATGATTTCCGCCATCATCACCATATACTCTCCTGACCTCTTGTTGTGCCTTTTGTAGCACTTTCGAATCTTTCATCATCTCCGACATGGCCCACCCTATTGTTGTTGTTGATGTCTCAATGCCAGCTAGAAATATTTCCTGATAGAGTCAATATAGAATCAGTATGGTAGCTCCAAAGAAAGAACAATTGTAAATGAACTGTAAAATCATCATATCAACATCTGCACTTACCAAAGTGACAGCTTTTATGACCTCCATTGTGATGGGTACTCCGAGATCCTGTTTCTCTTGAAGATTCAGAAGGACATCAATCAGATCCTCTTTTTCACCATCGCCTTTCCTTCCCGCCCTTCTTCTGGATTTATGTTCATCGATCACTTGATCCAGTACAGAATCCGATGCCTCGCGCATCTTCTCTAGCTTGGCTTTGAACCCGGTGAGGGCAGGCAGAAACTTGAGGGAAGGATAGAGATCGGAGATTTTGAAACCTGAAGCGGCATCTGAAATATTACTGATTACGGTCATAAAAGCATTGGTTAGTCCTTGTGCTTTACCGAATGCGGCCCTGGAAGTTATGGAACTCGTTGCAGTGGACAACATCTGAGTCAGATCCACAGGCTCCCCTGAAGCTGCCGCAGTACTAAGAGAGGCCACGAGTTTGGACACCTCTTCCTCCCTGATGTGGCGGAAAGATTGAACCCGTTTCGCGCTGAGAAGCTCGAGGGTGCAGATCTTGCGCATCTGGCGCCAGTACTCTCCGTAGGGTGCCAAACCTATGTCCTTGCAGCCATAGTAGACTATGTCTCCGGCCAGGAGATACGGTCTCGAAGCGAAAGCGACGTCGTGGGTTTTCATCACCAGTTTGGCGGCTTCAGGGGTTGAGATCACGATGTAAGAGAGCTCACCAAGCTGAAGGCTCATCACGTCGGGGCCATATTTGCGGGACAGGTCCCTGAGTCGGCGGTGGGGTTGGTCGCCGGCCATCTGGTGGATGTTTCCTATGATGGGAAGCTTCCATGGCCCCGGCGGCAGGTTTAAACCGGCGGTTTTGGACCTCTGCTTTCGGATGATGAATAAGGTGAGTACAAGGATGGTTGCAAGTGTGAAGAGGCAGGGGATATTGAATGCTTCGAAGGAGGAAGAGGAAGGGATCATCTTTTGGCTGAGATATTCCATGGAGATGAAACTCATTTTGTGAATGCTGCTTGATTAGTATACCACTGCCATATCATGTGGATGTGGTATATTTTCAATTAGATAAGTGGGCAGCTTATCTTGGCAGATCCAGATCTAATTTATTTTTTCATTTTTTTTTATCTAGATTAGATCAATATCCATAGTAAAAGAAAATGGAGATCTCATTCCAATTCAGATTTTGCCTTTTTCTTTGCACTGAAACATTTGCCAATGTAAAGACACCAACATTAAATGTGTAAATTGGGGTGGTTTTTGGGTGTACCGTCATTTGAACTCGATAGACTTATTTTGGTTATAATCTTAAATGAATTGAATCAAATTGGATTCAATCCAATCACAACGAAACAATACTTGTATTAGGTCAATAACATCGAGATCAAATTACCCAATAATTAATTCGTTTTGATTTCCATTCACACACGGGATGAGAGCTAGCAACCGTTTGTGGCCATGTGCTTAATTAATTTTGAAGGAAAACAGAAATTTATAAACAAGTTAGTACAAATATATGTGACCATTCATGTGATTGACCCTATGCAAGGTGAATGAGACACAAGCTGACAATGATTTGGGTAAAAGAAAAATACAAGGAGATCTAATCGTATCTCCATCTCTGCAATATAAAACTTTAGTTTACAGTTTCTTATTATGGACCATTTTGTTTTGTTTGGAAAAAACATTATTAAATCGTGAATGTGGATAATTTAAATTTCCAATAGGTTTGAGAACCGGGCTTATTTCCAATGCTGGATAGATTGGCATAACCGAAATAAGCTTGGAACCCTGAGAGTTAAGATGTAATCAATAAAGGTTTAATGTCATTTTTTCAAGTTGTTCTCCATTTTTAAATTCGTAGTCTTCGTAGTAGTTTCATCAATAATACCTACCAAATAAAAGGTAGGCTCAGGAAGACTCTCTAATTCTCTGGTTCGGGTTTTGTTCTACCTAGCTAGGTTAGATTCGGGAAGATAGCCACGGGTGTGAATGTTTTTACCAGGCTGTTGAGCCACAAGTCTTTCACCTCAATGAATATTGTTCTTATATAAAAAAGGAGAATTGCTAGTTTCTCCCAATAAATAGTTAGAAGATAGATAGTTTTAGTATGTGGTATAAGATTGATTATGAAATCTCTCTCAACAACTCGAGTTATTGGGATCAAATGATTCTTGACATAGTATCAAAGCCTTCTGTGACCGAGAGGTCTAGTGTTTGAATCCCCACGACCCCCATTTGTTAATCACGTGGTATTCGGACCAGGGCAAATTTCAAGCCCTTATGAGTGACTTTCGTTTGAGAGAACGTGTTAGTATTTGGTATAAGATTCATTATGGAACCTCTCTCTCTTATACACTATTGTGATGCCATACACGGTTGTCGACAAATAGTCGATATAAGAGTATTTTGTGCCGCTAAGTGAACGGTCGTGTTAAATTGACAAAAGGTGTAAATACAATTAAAACAAGAAAAATACTTTGATAGATGTAGAACCTCCTCTAAGGGGTGGTTCTGACAGAAGTGAAGAAATCACAAGCAACAAGCTAAAAAGGGGGGAAACAAAAGTTCTGGTAATGAGAATCTTCACTTTCAGTTGTACATTTTGCCTTTTATTTAGGCCCTGCCATCATACGAAATTGGAATTAGACGAAGAGCATTCTTTCTTTTCAGTGATGTTCCGAAACTTTCAGTCATATCAATGCCTTTTTGTTTCATTTCGAATGGAAGTTCCCATTGAAAGTGATAGAGCATATTTGCCAGCGTCAGTTTAACAACCGCCATTCCAAAAGAAATCCCAGGACATACCCTTCTTCCAGCACCGAATGTAACGAACTGGAAATCGTTTCCCTTGTAGTCAATTGAGCCATCCAAGAATCTCTCAGGATAAAATTTATCAGGCTCGACCCAATGACAGGGATCCCGATTGATCGCCCAAGCATTCACAATGACTTTGGTGTTGATTGGGACATCATATCCATCGAGCTCCACCTTCTCTCTACTTTGCCTGGGAATAAGTAAAGGAATTGGAGGGTGTAACCTTAAACCTTCCGAGATAACCATGTCCAAGTACTTCAATTGATGAAGGTGTGTTTCATCAACATCTTTTCCTCGCTCACCTAACACCTGTCTCGCCTCTTCTTGTGCCTTTTGAAACACTCTCGGATTCTTTATCATCTCCGACATTGTCCATTCTAGTGTCGTCAACGATGTGTCGATTCCAGCTAAGAACAATTCCTAACAGTAAGAGCAAAATCAAAGCTATATAAGAGAAGTGACAAAGACTAAGAAGGACAAAAACAACTAGTAGAATCAGTTCTTACCAAAGTCACCGCTTTTATGATTTCCATTGTAATGGGTATTCCAAGGTCCTGTTTTTCTTGCAGATTCAGAAGGACATCGACGAGATCCTCTTTTTCGCCATCATCTTTTCTTCCCGCCCTTCTTCTTGATTTGTGTTCACCAATAACTTGCTCAAATATCGAATCCGCTGCTTTATGCATCTTATGTAGTTTTGCTCTGTAGCCGGTGAGGGTAGGGAGAAATTTGAGGGAAGGATAAAAATCAGAGACTCTGAAACCCGCAATAACATCCGACATGTTGTCGAGAACAATTTGGAAAGCATCGTTTAGCTCCTGTACTTTCCCAAACGCAGCCCTGGAGATTATGGTTCTCGTTAGATTAAACAGCAGCTGAGTGAGATCCACAGGCTCCCCTGCATCTGCAGAACGAGTCAGAGAGGCCACGAGATTGGAGACCTCTTCTTCCCTGATGTGACGGAAAGATTGAACTCTTTTGGCGCTGAGGAGCTCCAGAGTGCAGACCTTGCGCATCTGTCTCCAGTACTCTCCATAGGGCGCGAAAGCTATGTCCTTGGAACCATCGTAGATTATGTCTGGGGCGAGGAGAGAAGGCCTGGAAGCAAAAGCCAAGTCGTGGGTTTTCATTACCAGTTTGGCGGCTTCAGGGGTTGAGATCACGATGTGCGAGAGCTCCCCGAGCTGAAGGCTCATCACGTCGGGGCCATATTTGCCGGCCAGGTCCCTCAGTCGCCGGTGGGGTTGGTCGCCGACCATCTGGTGGATGTTTCCTATGATGGGAAGCTTCCATGGGCCCGGCGGCAAGTTCAAAGCGGCGGTTTTGGTCCTCTGCTTTCGGATGATGAATAAGGTGAGTACGAGGATGGTTGCAAGTGTGAATAGGCAGGGGTTTTTGGATGCTTCGAAGGAGGATGATGAGCAAGAGATCATCTTTTGCGGGAGATATTCCATGGTAACTATGGAAGTGCTCTGTTTTTCCCCTGCCTACACATATCGCTTGGTTAGTTATATATTATGCAGATAGTTGAAGGGTTTCCCCTGTATACTACTGCCATATGATGTGAAGTGGTTCAATTATATAATTGAGACAATTCATATCTAATTTTTTTAGTTTTGTTCCGAATTAGGCTCGTGATATTGGATTTTCAAAAGAAAATAGATATCCGATTCTAATCAAGTTTTGGTCTTTTCTTTGCTTTAAAACAAACATAAATGTGGAGACGCCGACATAGAAGCATGAATTGGGTTGACTACCGTTAGTAAGTTAGGTTGATATTGATTTTTTGTGTGTGTACGATCCTCTGGACGTAAATAAACTAATTTGAGTCAAATCCAAATAAATTGATTCAGTCCAAACTCAAAACTATCAATAGTACCTATCGATTCATTTGGGTTTAATTCAATACTTATATGAATAAATAACAATAAGATCAAATTACCAATCCATTTTCATTCTTTCACAAGGTGAGAGCTAACCATTTGTGGCATGGTAATGTGCTTAATTAATTTGGATGAAATAATAGATGTATAGGTGAATGAGACAAAGCCTGACAGTGCCTTTTAAGCGTAGGATAGGTGACTACTTATTAGTACCTCAAATATAAGTGACCATTCATGTAATGTAATTGACCCTTCGGTATAAAGGGGTCGTTTGAAAGTTGTGATTGTTATTATAGTTCAAAATGCATTATTATTTATTTATTTTTATCTCAGAAACACTACGTGAATTGTTCTGTTTCTGTGATGTGACAGAAACTATCGCTCAAAATGAGTGACTGTTATCTCTCAACTTTTAGTTGCGATTGTTGGGATCGTTGAGTTGTGATTGTTTTGTCTCAGCTTTTAGCTTATGTGACATACACAATCACACGTACCAAACGTTGTATTTTACTATGCATCAAATTCAACAATACATATATAATATTATGCATGCAATCACAACAATACATCTATTTCACAATCTCAACTTCCAAACGACCCCAAAGTAACAAAATTGAAGGAGATCTACTCGTATCTCGATCTCAAGAATATAAAACTTAGTTAACAGTTTCTTATTATGAATCTTTTTTTTTTTTATAAATATAATTAAATAAACTCTTCAATATGTATAATTTACATTGTCAATATGTTTGTAGTTGTTGGATCTCTATCAAATTAGTTTGAGAGCAGGTAATGCTCTCGTGTAATGGGATTATTCAAAGGATCAATAGGTCAACGAGTAGTTAAGCAGGACAACATTCACGACTCAACTAGGTTTTATTATGTAACAAAATTCATCCATAACAAACTATTTGTTAAGGTGCTTCAATCTTCTACAAGTGGAAAATACTTAAATATAGATAAAAGAGTTTAATGACTGCTAAGTACGATTTTATGAGTTGGACGATATTGTCTACCCTAACGATCTTCAACATTTTTTTTTCTCTCCCTGTAGCTCTTCTCCATTCAACCACTCTTACCTCAATAAATAAAGGCGCTTATAAAAATAAGAAAATTTGCTAGGTACTAGAGTGCTTTTGACGGGAGTGAAGAAATTAGAAGCAACAAGAAGAAGAAGAAGAAAGAAAAAAGGGGAGAACATAAGATCTCATAACGAGAATCTTTCACTTATTTATACATCTTGTCATTTGTTCTCCTTCCCATCAAGCTGCATCAACTGGGATCACAATCAAACGAAGAGCATTCTTCCTTCTCAGCGATGTTCCAAAACTTTCAGTCATATTAATGCCTTCTTGTTTCGTTTCGGATGGAAGTTCCCAATGAAAGTGATAGAGCAGATTCGCCAGCGTCAGTTTAACAACCGCCATCCCAAAAGAAATCCCGGGACATATCCTTCTTCCAGCACCGAATGGAATGAACTGGAAATCATTCCCCTTGTAATCCGTTGAGCAGTCCAAGAATCTCTCAGGGTAGAATTTCTCCGGTTCGACCCAATGACGGGGATCCCGACTGATTGCCCAGGCATTCACAATGACTTTGGTGTTGATTGGGACATCATATCCATTGAGTTCCACCTTCTCTCTACTTTCTCTAGGAACAAGTAAAGGAATGGGAGGGTGTAACCTTAGAACTTCGGAAATAACCATGTCCGAGTACGCCAGTTGATGAAGGCTTGCTTCGTCTACAATTTTTCTGCCATCGCCTAACATCTTCCGGACCTCTTCTTGAGCCTTTTGAAGCACTCTCGGATTTTTTACAAGTTCAGACATGGTCCATTCCAGTACTGTCGATGATGATTCAATACCGGCCAAAAATATTTCCTGATATTGTAAGATCAACATCAAATGACGGTCACCCTTGGTGAAGGATTAGTATTGTAGACAAAAGACGAGAAAAAAAGCTAGTAAAATCAGCAGATTAACTTACCAAAGTCACTGCTTTTATGACTTCCATTGTAATGGGTATTCCAAGGTCCTCTTTTCCTTGAAGATTCAGAAGGACATCGACAAGATCCTCTTTCTCACCATCATCTTTTCTTCCCTCCCTTCTTCTCGATCTATGTTCACCGATAATTTCTTCTAATACCGAATCTGTTGCTTTCCGCAGCTTATATAACTTTGCTCTGTACCCAGTGAGGGTCGGGAGTAATTTGAAGGAAGGATAAAGATCAGAGATTTTGAAACCTGCGAAAGCATCCGAAATATTATTGACAACAATCTGAAAAGCATCGTTTAGCTCCTGTACTTCACCGAATGCGGCCCTGGAAGTTACGGTACTCGATAGCTTAAACAACATCTGAGTCAGATTCACAGGCTCCCCTGCATCTGCAGAACGAGTCAGAGAAGCCACGAGATTGGACACCTCTTCTTCCCTGATGTGGCGGAAAGATTGAACTCGTTTGGCGCTGAAGAGCTCCAAAGTGCAGATCTTGCGCAGCTGTCTCCAGTGCTCTCCGTAGGGCGCGAAACCGATTTCCTTGCAACCGTAGTAGAGTGTATCTGGGCCCAGGATATAAGGCCTCGAAGCGAAAGCTAAGTCGTGGGTCTTCATCACCAATTTCGCGGCTTCAGGGGTTGAGATTACGATGTAAGAGAGCTCCCCAAGCTGAAGGCTCATCACGTCGGGGCCATATTTGCCGGCGAGATTTCGTAGACGCCGGTGAGGCTGGTCGCCGACCATCTGGTGGATGTTTCCTATGATGGGAAGCTTCCATGGTCCCGGCGGCAAGTTTAGAGCGGCGGTTTTGGACCTCTGCTTTCGGATGATGAAGAAGGTGACTACAAGGATGGATGCAAGTGTGAAGAGGCAGGGGATTTTGAATGTTTCGAAGGAGGAAGAGCAAGAGATCATCTTTTGGCGGAGATAATCCATTGTAATGATGAAAGTACTCTGTTTTTCCCCTGCTAACACATATCGCTTGGTTTCTAATTATATTCTGCAGATTGTCAAATGGACTTTTCCCCTGTATACCATTATTGCCATATGATGTGATGTGGTTCAATTAAAGAAATGGTCACCTTACTTTTTGAGGCTTAACAGAATGATACTTAACGTTTACATTGATTAACATGATGGTACATTTAGTCGATCTTCCTTTATTACTCCGTTTTCCACAAATATTATATCATGTCGTACCATTTAAGTCGATTTCGAAAAAAGGTCACACAGGATGAGAGCTAACCGTTTTTGACGAAATAAACCACACGAAATACAATATGTTTTTTTGGTAGAAAAATATGGTAGGATACTAGGATGAAAGAAATTACACATGTTGAAACACAAGAAAAGCACAACACACAGTTAGCATCTTTGTTACAACTTCCTTAATTCAAAACACGCGACCATACAGATACAGAGTTGGAATAAGTTGGAGAGGATATTGTCTTCTGAGTGTCATTCCAAAGCATTCTCTCATATCAATGCTTTCCTGTCTGGTAGGAAGCGTCCAATCAAAATGGATGAGCAGATTCGCTAGAGTAAGTTTCACAATCGCCATTCCAAAAGAAATTCCGGGGCATATCCTTCTTCCCCCACCAAATGGAATGAACTGAAAATCAGCACCCTTATAATCCATTGACTCGTTCTCAAATCTTTCCGGGAAGAATCTCTCGGGGTCTGTCCAGTGGCGAGGATCGCGATTGATCGCCCAGGCGTTCACAATGACGTTGGTGTTCACCTGGACCTCGTATGAATTGAGTTCCACCTTCTGATCTCTGTTTTCTCTTGGAACAAGCAAAGGAAGTGGTGGATGTAATCTTAAACTCTCCGCAATAACCATATCCAAATACTTCAACTGGTCAAGGTTTGCTTCGTCGAAATAATTTCTGCCATCATGATCACCATATACTTGCCTGACTTCTTGTTGTGCTTTTTGTAACACTTTTGGATCTTTCATCATTTCCGATACGACCCACTCTATTGTTGTTGTCGATGTCTCAATGCCAGCTAGAAACACTTCCTGATATACCGTTGTCGTGATCAATATGGTAGCCCGAAAGAAAGAACAATTAATAGTAAGAGAACTGTAAAATGATCGATCATATCAACATATGTACTTACCAAAGTGACAGCTTTTATGACCTCCATTGTGATGGGTACTCCAAGATCCTGTTCCTCTTGAAGATTCAGAAGGACATCGACAAGATCCTCTTTTTCACCATCACCTTTTCTTCCCGCCGTTCTTCTTGATTTGTGTTCACCAATCACTTGATCCAATACAGAATCCGATTCCTTGCGCATCTTCTCTAGCTTGGCTCTGAACCCGGAGAGGACAGGCAGCAAGTTGAGCGAAGGATATAGATCAGAGATTTTGAAACCTGAACCAACATCTGAAATGTTATCGACAACGATCATAAAAGCGTCGGTTAGTTCTTGCGCTTTACCGAATGCTGCCCTGGAAGTTATGGAACTCGTTACAGTGGACAACATCAGAGTCAGATTCACAGGCTCCCCTGAAGCCTGCTGCAGTACTAAGAGAGTCCACGAGTTTGGAGACCTCTTCTTCCCTGATGTGGCGGAAAGATTGAACCCTTTTCGCGCTGAGAAGCTCGAGTGTGCAGATCTTGCGCATCTGCCTCCAGTACTCTCCATAGGGCGCGAAAGCTATGTCCTTGCAGCCATCGTAGAGTATATCCGCAGCCAGGAGATAAGGCCTCGAAGCGAAAGCTACGTCGTGGGTTTTCATCACGAGTTTGGCGGCTTCAGGAGTTGAGATCACGATGTAAGGGAGCTCCCCAAGCTGAAGGCTCATCACGTCGGGGCCATATTTGCCGGCTAGATCACGGAGTCGGCGGTGGGGTTGGTCGCCGACCATCTGGTGGATGTTCCCTATGATGGGAAGCTTCCATGGCCCCGGCGGCAGGTTTGAAACGACGGCGGTTTTGGATAGCTTCTGCTTTAGGATGATGAATAAGGTGGCGACAAGAATGGTTGCAAGTGTGAGGAGGAAGGGGAGGTCGAAGAAGGAAGAGCAAGAGATCATTTTTTGGCCTAAGTCTTCAATGGTTATGAAACTCATTGGTACGTACGAGGAACTTATCAATACACGCACTTCTTCTAGTACACTATATAAGCTCATTGGGGAGCATCTTTCCATGTGGTGCTCAATGTGTTGGGATTATATATTTTAATGACAGGATCAAGGGAGTGGATTAACTAAATATATAAATTAGGGGTGACAAAGACTGAAAGCAGCACACGAGACACACGAGAAATCGACCAAGAAAAGCAGACCCGACTGTTCCTTCTTTTTCTTTTTCTTTCTTTCTTTTCATCCTTTGTTATTTTTTGGTTGTGCCTCCGTGACATTAGGCCTTATGATCTCCTTTGTCTGTACAGTGCTTTGTTTACTTTCTGTTCTTTTAGAAATAAATTTCATCGCCATTATAAAAAAAAAAAAAAAAATTTCACATGACAACTTATGCCATATGAAATACTATTAAGGGTCATGCAACGGCCACCTCAATCGATCGATTAGTTTCTATTGGAAAAAAGAAAAATATGAATATTGTTTTTGTTCCCTGTTATGATCTTTTTTGATAATGTCTATTTAAATTTTTTGATAATGTTAACTTTTTTTTTATAATGCTTTGCACTTTGTTTTTCAACCACTCCAATTTTTTTGAAAAGTAACCGTCTCAAAGCCACTTGAGCATGATAATTATAAATTTTTAATGTTTATGCTTTTACAGTGGCGTTGATTGAAAATTGCACAGTTGAGATAATGAACTACTTAAAAATCAAAATTTTGGATAATTATGGTATAATGAGATTATAAAAAGATACCCATGATAACATTTTGATGATTTTTATTTATGATTATTTTCATGGATATAGTAATATAATTGAACCCATGTGGATAAGCCAAATCTGACTTGATCAGTAGATTTACTCCAACTTCATTTCAGATGGAGCTTTACTCCAAGTTCTTCAAAGATGGAAGGTCCTTTGACATCAAAGGTAGATTAAATATCCATTGTGAATATGTATATGGCACATAACTATTTCTTCCTTGTAAAATTGTAGTCTTAAATCAGTTTTCACCCGTAAGTTACTATTTGATTCTCGTGGGAACCGAATTCTCTTATAACTGAGATATGCTTGCTTGGCTGATATATTCACCTAGTTATATTAGTTGGTTCTACTGACCCAACTACTAATCCGATTCGGTTCTTATAACAATAATTTTTAGACAAATTAGTGCAAAAACAATTACCTTTTCCTTTTAAATATTATAGGATAGGTGACTGTTTGATAGTGATACCAAATATACGTGACCATTCATGTAATTGACCCTAGCTACTACATGAATGCGACAAGCCTTGACTTAGATAAGAAATACAATGAGATGCAATCGTATAAAACAAAGAATTATGAATTATTTTGTTATTTTTGTGACCCTATCTACTACGTGAATTGACCCTATCTCTTACAGTTTTCTATATTGAATTATTTTTTTTTTCTGAAAGGTTAATAAAACAAAGAAGAAGAAGTTAAAAGTCTCTATCAGATTAGTTTGAGAGCATCCAATTCTCTCATGCAATGGGATCTTTTAAACGATCAAAGCTCAAGGAGAGCATCTCAATGAGCAGGCAACGTCGATGCTTTTCAACTGTTTGTTAGTGAAAATGGAGCTGATAATTAAGAAAATTCATCAATTGCATAGGCTATCTGAAAAGGCGCTTCAATCTCTTATCTAAGTGGAGATTGTCATAAACCAGTTGATCTCAATAATTTGAGTTGTTGGGAGAAGGTTATGTTGGATTTTATACAGGTCCATGTATGGTATTTAATCACTTTCTTACACGCCCCCTCAAACGAAAGCCGACTATGGGCTTGAAGTTTGCACAGGCCCGCAATACCATGTGTTTGAAGACAACGGTTAATATTGGGGGTCGTGAGGACTTGAACATGTGACCTCACGAACAAATTAGCTCTGATACCATGTCATAAACCAGTTGGTCCCAATAACTCGAGTTGTTGGGAGAAGGTTATGCTGGATGTTATACAGGCCCATGTATGGTACTTAACCACTTCCTTACAAAGGTGGCATATATATTTAAAATAAATTATATTATATTTATTATTTTTAGTTGCCACATCACTAAGTTAACGGTCAACTTTGAGAGTTGACTGCCACATCAGCCAAAATTAACGGAGTTGGACGAAGAGTGACCAAACGTGAACGGTTTCAGTAAACTGAAGTACCGCCAATGGATTTAAATATTTCGAGTGACCAAACTTGAATGTTTTTTGTAATCTCAGTGACCAACCATGCAATTAACCATTAAAATCAATGTTGATTGTGGTGGTAAAAAAAGCAATATACTCTAAAAAGAAAGGGTTAATACCTTATTATGGCCTGAACTATGACCATGTAATCAACTTTGGCCAGTGGTTTGAGAAATTAACATCCTGGCCCGAACTATGCAGCATACAGACAGAATTGGCCTGGAGCGTGGTTTGACCGTTTGTTTGGACGGTCAACACCGTTGACCGTTAGTCAACTGTCCAGATCACTGCCATATCAGCACAAAAAATTATAATTTCATTTTTCTTTTAATTTTCTTTACAAAATGGCATTACAAAATGGAATAATAAAGAAAAAAATAAAACAATAACTTTTGACCACCCATCCCCACCTTATCCCCCATTTTCGATCAAACCCTAAAAAACCCTATCTTCCATCTTCTTCCCCAATAACCCGCCGCCGCACTTATGACACCGGTTGATGACGAGGCCGAGGACGCAGATCAGGCGCAGAGGAGGGCCGCCAGTATGATGACAAAGTCACTGTCCACCGGCAGGGCGGGCGGTTGGGAGTCCCCGGCCGGTGCTGTTGTTGCTGCTGCCGGCACGGAATCGAGCAGCCTGAATGGACGAGCCATGTGGAGGCAGTGGGTTATCGGGCCGCTATGATTGATGCTATGCTATAAATTTTCAAATTGTGGCCTGGATCGCCATCATCCCCTATCTTTTCTCCAACATTTGCTGCGTCATCAGGGGCCATCAACTCTGCTAGAAGTCTTTCTGCATTCAACGATAAGCAGAGTGTTACCACAAATCAACTTGAAGCCAACAACTGGAAGACTGATCTGTTAGCAAAGATCAAAGAGGAATCACAAACCTCTGAGTTTGCGCCTCCTACGGTACAAGAAAATGCAAATGACGACCGCACCAAGAGCCCCAACTGCAGCAAACGAAACCCCAATTCGTACTGCCACTGGAGATCAGAAAAGAAGAACCGCCACGCTCAACATTGTATACTGATCATTGAAGGTAAGTAAAGCAAGATTGGAGAAAGCAAATGCTACCGTTTGAAGGATGGGTGACTGGTTTTCCATAAGCTTCATCAACAATGACATGATACTTGTCCAGAATTCTACTGGTTTCGAATTCTGCAAATCCGCCAGACCCATAGAACAACTGACATCCAGTGTCATTCCCATTGATCCCAAAACCATCAAAGAGGTCGACGCGAAGCCCACCGCATTCACAGTCGTTCCAACACATTTCCCGGCAATCATCCCCTGGACGGTGGGTTATCTGGATATGGAGGCAGTGGGTTATCGGGGAAGAAGATGGAAGAAAGGATTTTTTTGGGTTTGATCGAAAAAGAAAGAAGGTGAGGGGATAAGGTGGGGATGGGTGGTCAAAAGTTATTGTTTTATTTTTTTCTTTATTATTCCATTTTGTAAAGCCATTTTGTAAAGAAAATTAAAAGAAAAATGAAATTATAATTTTTTGTGCTGACATGGCAGTGACCTGGACAGTTGACTAACGGTCAACGGTGTTGACCGTCCAAACAAACGGTCAAACCACGCTCCAGGCCAATTCTGTCTGTATGCTGCATAGTTCGGGCCAGGATGTTAATTTCTCAAACCACTGGCCAAAGTTGATTACATGGTCATAGTTCAGGCCATAATAAGGTATTAACCCAAAAAGAAAAGGGTATAGAAGTCACTCTACCAAAAAATTAGAGACTTGACAGATTACTTAACGATAATGTTTAAAGAGGGGCTTATTTGTTACTAAATCCTAGTATAGGGGCTTCCTTTGAGAGAAATGTAATATAAGGGCTTATTTGTTATCTATGCATAGTACAGGGGCTTGTGTATTTATTAATCCATTCTGTATATATATTTCTGAATTCTGATATCTGCTGTCTGCCTATGCCAGACTGATCTATTTGGAAACATAGGCAGGCCAAACACTACTTAAACAAATAATTAAGGAGATAGTGACTGAGAGTGATCGATCATCATCTTGAAAGCCGGCCAACCATGGACGGGTTTGGTATGGGAAATTCATTAATATATGATTTGGAAAAACTATTAACAATCAATTGATGATTAAACGCATAAGATAGGAGGATTTGAGAGGTGATTGACAGATTCAGGAAAAGTTAGAAGGTTTACAAAGATATGATGATTACAACAGTCAACAAAGGGATCATTTACTAGCTAGGAGTGACGAAATTAGAAGCAAGAAGAAGATGAGAAGAAAAAAAAAACCCCAGAAGATCTCATCACGAGAATCTTCACTTATTTAAACATCTTGGATCTTGCCATCTCTTCCTCCACTCCAATCATACAAAACTGGAATCAAATCCAAACGAGGAGCGGTTTCCCTTGTTCGTGATGTTTTAAAACTTTCATTCATATCAATGCCTTTCTGTTTCATTTCCGACGACGGAAGTTCCCATTGAAAGTGATAGAGCAAATTTACCAGCGTCAGTTTAACAATTGTCAATCCAAAAGAAATTCCGAGACATATTCTTCTTCCGACACAGACTGGGATGAATTGAAAATATTTCCCATTGTAGTCAGTTGAGCAGTCCAAGAATCTCCGAGGGGTAGAATTTCTCCGGCTCGACCCAATAACAGGGATCTCGATTGATCGCCCATGCATTAACAATGACTCCGGTGTTCATCGGGACATCATATCCATTGAGTTCCACCTTCTCTCTACTCTCTCTGGGAAGAAGTAAAGGAACGTGAGGGTGTAGCCTTAAAGCTTCCGATATAATCATATCTGACTAGGGGATTATTTATACGATCAAAGTTTGTTATAGTTAAAATAATGGTGCTCCTAAAGTTTCTAAACACAGCTAGGGGTGGCGTTGACAAACCAGCGGGGTCGGCACCGAATCCAATAGTAGAGTTTTGAGCAGTATTTTATTAGAAAATTTAGATATCGTAAAAAACAGTCATAGTTTTCTTTACAACATAAATTGTATACGACGTTTTTTTAATTTAGTAATAGCATACTCTATTTGAAATAAAATAGTTAACCAATTAACGAGAAATTCATCGCTCATTTTGTTGCACAAATAAGTTTTCACATGTCTTATTATTAAAAAAGGTTCTCTCCGTAGTAACTGTTGACACAGACAACATCAACACTAGACAAATCAACATACTGATCAATTTGTATTGTGTGGTCATCTCTATTTCAGCTTCTTTAGTAATTTTTCTAGGAAAAAAACCTCACACCTCTTTTAGTCTTTGCGGTTTAATTTAGAGTCTTAAGTTTCATTGTATATTGTTTTTTTCAACGAAAAATCATCGGGACTAGAATTTCTAGGCTAAATTAAGGGTAGTGATTTGAATATGTTCTTCTAAATCATTTTCCTAGTTACACACCATCTTATTATAAAATAACATTGGGGCGGTGGGTGCAATTTTAAACTCCTGGTGATAACCATACTATCAAGGCTTGCTTCGTCGAAATGCTTTTTAGTATTATCACCAAATACTTGTCTGACTTCTTGTTGTGCACTTTCGCAAAGAAATTCCATGGTACTGATGAAATTATGTAGTCTTCATTTTGGATCCAACAAAAATACCCAACGACTACTATAGTACTCTGGCTCTCTTCTATCGATACACAAAACTTGTTTGAGTGATGTTATGATTGTCAAAGAAAATTTTAACTATTAATTACGCTTGGCTGAGGAACAGCAACATGCAGAACAAGACCAACGCCAAGCGTTGTTTTTTTTATAATGGTGATAATTGCATTAAAGAGGAAATGAGAAAAGAAAGAGTACAAACCCAGTACACAAAGAAGCGACTGAAAAGCGGAAAAAACAAAAAAGATGTAGGAGCACAAGCAGTGCTACCCAAACAAAAACACAAGCGGAAACGAGCGAAAACAAGGGAAGACTACAAGAAAAAGGAAAAGAAAGTAGGCTAGGCAAACCAAGAAGCCCCTGAAACCAAAAACCCAGTAAAAGCAGCCCACGAAGACACAAGCTCGCAACTAAACTCGCCGAAAGGACAGGAGACTCCGGCAGAAAGACCGAAGCACGGAAAACGGCTGAAAGGAGAAACAACAACCAGCAGCAAAGATCCAAGCAAGCCTTGATAGTGTCAGATACTCTGAAACTGAATTCCGAGCCATTGTCTGCCACAAGATTTATCAACCTTGTTGTGAGCCTAAAGAAGCACGCGACCATACGGAATTGGAATTAGACGGAGAGGATATTTTCTTTTCAGTGTCCCTCCAAAACATTCCGCCATATTGATGCTTTTTTGTCCAGCGGGAAGTTTCCAGTCAAAATGAAAAATCAAACTCGCTAGAGTTAGTTTCACGGTCTTCATTGCAAAAGTAACTCCAGGACACATCCTTCTTCCGGCACCAATGTAATGAATTGGAGCTCGGTCCCCTTATAATCGATCGGAAAATCCATAAATCTTTCCGGGAAGAACCTCTCCGCTTCTGTCCAGTAACGAGGATCCCGATTTATCGCCCAGGCGTTCACGAGGACGCTGGTGTTCGCCGGGACCTCGTACGAATTGAGTTCCACCTTCCCATCTCTATTTTCTCTTGGAATAAGCAAAGGAAGTGGTGGATGCAGTCTTAAACTCTAGGCAATAATCATATCCAAATACTTCAACCGATCAAGGCCTGCTTCGTCGACGAAATAGTTTCTGCCATCATCATCGCCGTATACCTGCCTGACCTCTTGTTGTGCTTTCTGTAGCACTCTCGAATCTCTTATCATCGCTGACATGGCCCACTCCAGTACCGTTGTCGATGTCTCAATACCAGCCAGAAACATTTCCTAATAATAAAGTCAATACATTAATTGTGAGTATGCATGGCAACGTAACTCCAAAGAAATCACCATATATATCAAAATCTCTACTTACTAAAGTGACGGCTTTTATGACCTCTATTGTGATGGGTATTCCGAGAACATTATGTTTCTCTTGAAGATCCAGAAGGACATCAACAAGATCCTCTCTTTCATCATCGCCTTTTCTCCCCGCCCTTCTTCTGGCTCTATGTTCATCGATTACTTGATCCAGTACAGAATCCGACGCCTTGGACATCTTCTCTAGCTTAGCTTTGAACCCGGTGAGGACAGGCAGCAACTTGAAGGAAGGATAGAGATCGGAGATTCCGAAACCTGAAACAGATTCCGACATATTATCGACAACGACCATGAAAGAATCGGTCAGTTCTTGCGCTTTACCGAATGCTGCCCTGGAAGTTATGGAACTCGTTACGGTGGACAACATCCGAGACAGATTCACAGGCTGCCCTGAAGCTGCCGCAGTAGTAAGAGATGCCACGAGTTTGGAGACCTCTTCTTCCCTGATGTGGCGGAAAGATTGGACCCTTTTCGCGCTGAGAAGCTCCATTGTGGCGATCTTGCGCATCTGGCGCCAGTGATCTCCGTAGGGCGCCAAAGCTATGTCCTTGCAACCGTAGAAGAGTATGTCCGCGGCCAGGAGATGAGGCCGTGAGGAGAAAGCTAGGTCGTGGGTTTTCAACACGAGCTTGGCGGCTTCAGGAGTTGAGATTACGATGTAAGGGAGCTCCCCGAGCTGGAGGCTCATCACGTCGGGGCCGTGTTTGAGGGACAGGTCCCTGAGCCGGCGGTGAGGCTGGTCGCCGGACATCTGGTGGATGTTTCCTATGATGGGAAGCTTCCATGGCCCCGGTGGCAGGTTTGAAACGACGGCGGTTTTGGATAGCTTCTGCTTTAGGATGAACAAGGTGACTACAAGGATGGTTGCAAGTGTGAAGAGGAAGGGGATGTCGAAGAAGGAAGAGCAAGAGATCATGTTTTGGCGGAGATAGTACTCGATGGAAATTAAGCTCATGATTAGTAGTTTGGTACGAGGATGTGATGAAAACACCCACCACTACTATAGTATATAAGCTCATCATTAGTATGAGGTCATTGGTTGGGGAGCATGCATCTCCACTTCTGTTTAATTTGCTGATGTGTTGGGTAAATTAAATTATTCTAATGACAGGGTGAAGGCCAAAAAGGGAGTAGTTGAGCAGGCTACTGATTAAGATGCGCTTTAACTAAATATATATATATATAAACAACAACAAGTTGACAAGGGTCAACGAGACGAGTGATTTGTTTAAGGATTGGTAAAACGACAGCAGATTGGTTGGTGGCGGCCGGCAACGTAGAGAGAAATTAATATGGAAGAGGACTGGTTGGCTCTAATGCGCAGAACGGCAGAAGTTTGGCGGATTCTGTGGTACAGTCACGGCACTAGTGCCGGCTGTTTTTACTTTTTCCCTCCTTGGATTTATGGTATTTGATAACGACGAGATTGGATTAGGTGCTAATTTTTATAGGGGTTAGCACCCCTGAACTGCTATAATGGTCTTAGCAGACCTCTCAGAGAAAATCAACAGATCGTCTGCAAAATTTAAGTGGGTAAGCCCTACTTTTTTACATTGTGGGTGATATGGAAGACGACCAGAAGCAACAGCAGCATTCAGGAGTAAAGACAGGCCCTTCATTGCAATGGTGAATAGATAGGGGGACAGAGGATCCCCCTGTCTCACTCCCCTTTTAGCACCAAAATACCCACATAACCCTCCATTTACACAAATACCGAACCTAGCAGTTTTGACACAGAGAGAAATCCACTTGCAAAAAGGAACAGGGAAACCCATTATATCAAGCATTATAAACAAGTATTCCCAGTTGACCGAGTCAAAGGCCTTCATCAGATCTATTTTAATGGCACAACGAGAAGATAATTGCTTCTTATGATATCCACTGACCATTTCCTGAGCCATGAGAATGTTGTCCACTATCCTTCTACCTTCAATGAATGCAGACTGATTACCACTAATAACTGTAGCTAGGACTTTTTTCAATCTATTTGCTAGCAGCTTAGCAATAATCTTGTATAACAGATTGATGCACGATATCGGTCTAAAATCCTTCAAGGCACAAGCAGATGGAATTTTAGGAAGCAAGGTAATAACAGCAGAGTTTACACTACCTGGCAATCTTCCAGAGTGGAAAAAGTCCAAGACAGCAGCAGTGACTGTTGAAAGCTTCGAGCGCGAGAAGCTTGCTTCACTTTCTTCGTCGAAATCGATTCCTGAAAGAACCCTAAATCGTCTTTTGGGAAGAACAAGTGAGTGCGAAGAGTGAAAGAGGTTTTGATCGAAAATGGCTTGGGAAACCGACTGAATAAGTGTTGGTACTGAACTGGGTCTTTGATTAAAACAATTGGGCCCAAATTTTATCAAGCCCGTTTACCCCAGTGTTTATTAAAACGCTGCACTTTTACTTAACCGTATCACCTGTATTGTCTTCCTTTGCTAAGAGAGGAGTCTCTGTGGGAGTTTCTCGTTCAAGACCTGCAAAACAGAGTAGGTGCAACCAAACAGAGTATATCTACCAGAAAGGAAGATTACGAAGCAGAAATTAAAAGATGCACGCCCAGTTTTTACGTGGTATCCAGTATTGGGAAAAAGAACCCCAATACTGACTATTCCACGGTTGGAATATCACGATCTTGTGATTTCCAACGATCCACTAATTCTCTTGATATGTTTCGTTGATCGCACTATGCTATCCAGCTTAACCCGTCCTGTCCAGGAAGGTTAATCTACACTCTACAAATGGAACTTGTGACCTGAGCTCTCCAGCTCCTGCGTTGTCCAACGCTTCTACTCTCTAACACTGTTTCTCTCCATATTCAATGCTAAAGCTCTCTTTTCGCTATCAATTTACACTGTTATTTCCTTAGCCTCTCCTGTGTATCTTGATCTCCTCGAAAAGTGCCTCCTCATTGATCTTGATCAAGCTATATATCATGCCACCCTCTAGCCGTTGGGTTCTAAGAAGGTAGGTCTTCCCTTTTGAATTCCTTCCTCATGTGTCACGTCCTCTGATTTGCTCAATCCTTCTTTCCTTGCATATATGATTCTTTCCAAGTGCTATCACGATTTTATTCCCCTGTGAATTGAGGTAAGTGACTGGCTTTCTTGACAACAATCTCCCCCTAAGCCAGTCAATGATCCTCTTAGCTGCTTGCGAGTTCCTGCACACACTTTAACAAACTGTTACGTGTAGCCTGTTCTATGCTTGACTTATACCACTTCAAATAGGAGAATAAAACATCCATCATTTTATTAGATAGTTTGACATCAGACGCTAAGAATCATCCAAACATATTTTAAACTGAAAAGACACAGGCTCAGACAGAGCATTATTCAATAACAATACTGTAAAACCAAGACACTAGACTCGACCCACCTGATCCTTACATGGATCATCTTATTGACTCCCCCTATGCTAGACCACAACTCCCCCTAAGCTAGACATCCCATCCCTCTTAAAAAGAAAACCTAGGTGATGGCACATAATCTGATATTGCTTCCTCTTCATCTTCCATCATCAGGTTTCTGTTGCTGCTGCTAGCTTCATCCTGCCTGAACATGGCTCGAACCACTTCTAAGGGATCTATCATAGGACGCTTCCCATTATCCCTGACAGGGCTAACCATATCTGCCCTTTCTGGTCCTTCCTCCGCTTCATCCCTTTCCAATTCAGACAGATGGAGTCCATCCTGATCAGAGGGAACTCCAGCAGCTGCTTCTCCCCCTGGAACATTGACCACCGGAGCACGACGCCCTACAGAGGCATCCATTTTTCGCAGAACGAACTGAGCACGTAGAGATCCTAACATGTTTACGCGAGCCACCTTAAAGCGAAGATCAAGACCTAAAGCCAGCAGGATCTGAGTGATTTGCGGAGCAAAAGGAAGCTCGGCATGAAGGTTATCAGCATGATAGTTCAGCATGTGGTCAAACATCAGGTGGGGATAACTGATCACCCTATTTTCCTTTGCACTGGCAAGAATCCATAGATCAGATGGATAGATAGATAGTATTGAGACCGAAAGATCTAGGTAGAAAACACCTTGTGATGTAAAAATGCAGGACTTTGAGATCATCAGGAAGTCTACCAGTGTGAAATTCAGAAGGATAATACCGACCGGTATCACGAGTATATAACCTCAGGGCATCTCCCTCATTGAACTCAACAGAATGAAAGTCCAATTCATTCATGACTTCTGCTCCAGCAATGGGAATCCCAAGTAATAACGATAACAGTTCCACATTGATAGTGATCAGGTAAATTGTATACTATCGTTGTGAAGCATGGAGGAGTGATATGAAGACAAGGCTTCATGTTGGAGTAGAACATTCGAACAGCCTCAGGACGGAACCCAAAGTTACGATTTGGTAGGATATCACCCCATCCGATAGTATTGATCAAGCGAGGGACATCCATTCCATATTTGTTGAACCGAGAAGGATCAAGAGTGATGGAAGGATGGAGTGGACGATCCTGGAACTGCTGTAGATAGCGAGTATAACCTGCTGCATCCTCAAACCCTTTGCCATTGAAAATGGCAGCTTGAGCCAAACGCAGGGAGGCTACGTGATTGTTGGAAGTCGCCATGAGGAACTTCGTAATGAAGAGAGTTTTTAGTTTGTGAGATGAGATGAGATGTGATTCTGAGCTGAGACCTCCCTTTTAAAGGAGAGTTGTAGGATTGATTTGGAAAACAGAGTTAAGAATAAGGAAGGAGTTGAGAATTGCTCCGAAAGAAACAGAATTCTGGCAGAAGTTAAGGAAGTTAGAATCCGGAAGATTCATTTTAAGGACAAAATTATTTTGAATCAGAGTAGGAAAGGTAACTGGGATTAATTAGGAGATTTTGGGGACGAGATAGACAGATTCACAATATCATTGAGAGTGAATAACCCTAGCTCTCGACGATTGCGAATGAAAGATTCCGAGCCCAAAGGCTTAGTGAAAATGTCAGCCCACTGACATGAAGTTGGAACAAACTCCAGTTCAATTTGCCCTTCCTCAACTAATTCTCGAATAAAATGGTATCGAATGTCAATGTGCTTAGTTCGAGAGTGTTGCACTGGATTTTTTGTCATGTTTATAGAGCTTGTATTGTCACACAACACTGGCACTGAGTTTGTACAGAGTCCATAGTCTCGAAGCTGATGCTTCATCCAGAGAATCTGAGTACAGCAGCAGCCAGCTGCAATGTACTCAGCCTCAGCCGTGGACAAGGCTACTGAGTTCTGCTTCTTGCTAAACCAAGATACTAATGAAGTACCTAGGAACTGACACGTCCCTGAAGTACTTTTTCTATCTAAGACACATCCTGCATAATCAGCATCTGAGTATCCTAATAGTTCTAAGCTAGATTCACAGGAATACCACAAACCAAGATCAGGACACCCACTTAGATATCGAAAAATTCTTTTGACTGCACTAAAGTGACTTTGTTTTGGTGCACTCTGAAACCGAGCACACACACAGACACTATACATAATATCTGGACGACTAGCAGTTAGGTATAACAAAGATCCTATCATCCCTCTGAACATTCTTTCATTTACTGCTGTACCTGTGACATCCTTATCTATTTTAGAGTTTGCGGCCATGGGAGTGACGGCTGGCTTTAAATTTCCAAGGTCAAATCGTTTTAACATGTTTTGTAAGTATTTGGTTTGACAAATAAAGGTTCCATTAGGTGTTTGTTTGATCTGAAGCCCTAGAAAGTAATTTAATTCTCCCATTAAGCTCATTTCAAATGCCCCCTTCATTTTTGATTCAAAGTCTTTGCAAAGATTCTCACTTGTAGACCCAAAGATGATGTCGTCTACGTAGACTTGTACCAACAGAATATGTTCTTTCTCTTCTTTAATGAACAGTGTCTTGTCTACCTTCCCTCTTCTAAACTTATTTTCTATTAGAAAAGAACTGAGTTTGTCGTACCAAGCTCTGGGTGCCTGTTTTAATCCA